TATATTAAAGCCTGTAATATTTTATCTGTAAAATCTGATATTATATTATATCAGAATTCCAAATTTAAAATTATATAAAGTTTATTCAAAACACATTATAATAAGTAAAAGTTTATAAATTACTTTATTTGACTGTAAAGTAATGATATGTATTTAAATAATGTATTAATTTCAAATAAATAGCATACGCCCTAATTTACATGTTAATAGCTTTCATTTTGGGAAAATAATTAACTGGGCGATCTTATTTGCTAGTCGAACATTTTAGGTAATTAAAATCTTACCATTCGAATATATTGCAAATGATAAAAAAAGTATTTGAACATTTAAAAATTGCGCATTATACTCCAATGTTTACTTCACCATCTGTTGACTTATAAATTTCGTTTTATTTAATAATTAGAATATGTTTAACAGCGCAATCATGATTAAATTTCATTCTAAATTTTACGTCTGACCATAAATTACAATATAAAATTATAGTTTCCTAATAACTCTGTATACTCGTAATGACACAAGAACTGTTTTATCATCGGTTCTAATTTTTAATTACTGTAATTATAGTTATATAATTAAAGAATATTAAATATTAATTGCTTTAATCCTCAATGACATTGAATGAATATTTTTATATTTATAGAGAGATTCTTGCTTAAATGTCAATGATATTAAATTTCTATTATAACGTATTATTTAATAAATATGATAAATATATTTTAGTATAAAAAGTATTTCTAAAAATTCGTTTAAAAAAGTAAATTTATGATTTGCAAGTAGGATTTACTTACCTTTAGAAATCTCATTTCGATAGATAAAAAACTTGAAAGTAATTTTATAGAATGACGTCAAGAGGTGAAAAATTCTTCGAATTGGATGGATTGTTTTCAGAGATTTAAAAACGATCGTTTATTTTTTATACATGTCGAGCAAAAACTGACATTAAATAATAATTCTAATGATTTTTAATGGTAATAAAGAGTGTCATTATCAAATATGATTTATTTTATCGCTTAAAATATTCATTTCATTTTAAACTTCGTCTGAAAAATTATTTTTTTTTAATGTCACATTTGTGAACAGTGTTTTTCTATCATCAATCATTAGAAATTATTCAAAAATGTCATTCATACAAAATTTAAACGTGATTGCAGCTGTCATGCTTCTTCATTAAATTAACTACTTAAAGTCTTCTATAATCGATCCGATACAGTTAATTAGTAATGAACAATAATGATTTGTATCCAAATTTTAAAAATTGCACAACAATAACGAATATATTAATATATTAGTATATTTCTTCTTCTCGCTATATATTCGATCGATAGACAGAAACGAGAGCTTTTTTATTGATTTTTCCGGAAACAAAATTTTGAAGTTTTATAAATAAATTTTAGTTAAAATTTAAAAAAAAAAATTACCGAGAATATAACGCATAAATCTTCTAGAAGTTACACACGGATCCGGTTATTATAGAGGATAATTTTAATTCAGGAAAACCTCAAATTAACTGGTTAATGTTATTGACATGATTGCGTATTAATATTCATCAAAGTTTAGTCATTTATCNTCTCATTTCGATAGATAAAAAACTTGAAAGTAATTTTATAGAATGACGTCAAGAGGTGAAAAATTCTTCGAATTGGATGGATTGTTTTCAGAGATTTAAAAACGATCGTTTATTTTTTATACATGTCGAGCAAAAACTGACATTAAATAATAATTCTAATGATTTTTAATGGTAATAAAGAGTGTCATTATCAAATATGATTTATTTTATCGCTTAAAATATTCATTTCATTTTAAACTTCATCTGAAAAATTATTATTTTTTTAATGTCACATTTGTGAACAGTGTTTTTCTATCATCAATCATTAGAAATTATTCAAAAATGTCATTCATACAAAATTTAAACGTGATTGCAGCTGTCATGCTTCTTCATTAAATTAACTACTTAAAGTCTTCTATAATCGATCCGATACAGTTAATTAGTAATGAACAATAATGATTTGTATCCAAATTTTAAAAATTGCACAACAATAACGAATATATTAATATATTAGTATATTTCTTCTTCTCGCTATATATTCGATCGATAGACAGAAACGAGAGCTTTTTTATTGATTTTTCCGGAAACAAAATTTTGAAGTTTTATAAATAAATTTTAGTTAAAATTTAAAAAAAAAATTACCGAGAATATAACGCATAAATCTTCTAGAAGTTACACACGGATCCGGTTATTATAGAGGATAATTTTAATTCAGGAAAACCTCAAATTAACTGGTTAATGTTATTGACATGATTGCGTATTAATATTCATCAAAGTTTAGTCATTTATCGTCAATTTTCCGTTAACATTGCGAGTTGCTATTATCGAGTATGAAGCAAATCTTCGCCTCCCAATAGCGTACACCCCCTTACTGGACATGGAACTATCTGCAGGCTGAACCTATCTGGTGACGTTTCGAAGTGGACATTTCACAAACTAAACGCTGGATTTGAGAGTAGCATATCTGTCAAAGTAAAGTCTACAATCATCAAATTATGTAAACAATCTTCTTTACTTAAGTTAAACAGTTATGGAATATCATAAATGAACATACTCTTGTGTTACGAAATACGAGTGTTTGACAGTAAAACGTAAGTTAAAGATCCTTTACATTGATCGCATGCAACTATATTTAGTTTTATCATAAACTAAAATTATTGTTTAATATTTTAATACAATCAATTCATTAAAAATTGTTTTTTTAAATTACGCTTATACTTAAAGTCAATTTATTACTTAAATAAAATACATTTGATGTATTTAAATATTTAATATCTCGATAAAGTTTTGATTCGAGATAAGGTAAACTGTATAAATTTAAAATAAATGTAAATAAATAAATAGTAAGTTTTGAATTATATATAGTTAAATTACACTTTGCACTTAGATTTTTATATATATATATTGTTTTAAATGCACTTTTTAAAATGATTCTTTATAAACCTAACTTAAGGTCATAATGTTTGTTTTTTTCCTTTTTACCGTTGTGTATATTCACTGTCAAACAGTGCTATCCTACAGTGAATGCAACAGTACAGAAGCCATAACACAGGTTTCAGACAGATGGTCTGACGTCAGTTGACAATCAAGTAAGGTTGAGAACAGAAACTAAGCTGATAAAAGAGATACAGAACAAGATTATGAATAATTTTATCAAATACAAAAGCCATACAACAGCTGCACTCTTGGCTCTAATCATAATTATTATGTTTATAGTTTATATGTATTTGTATAAACTATAATCACTAGTTTATATATATATATATATATATAAACTATAATGTATATTTAAAAAAATTCAGGTTTTATATAATAAAATATTAAAAGCGTAATGTCAACTTTATAAAATAATTTCCACTTTTTAAAATTTTCTTTTTCTCCGGTTCATTTATTGACCCGAACGATTTTCCACCGATTAATTTTAAAAATCAATAAAACTCTTTTACCTTTATAGTTTAATGTCTTCATTTATATATTTTTATATTAAAATTATTTTTAAAATAATTTATAGATAACAATTCTATGTAAAATATATAACAATTGTTTTAATTATATAATTTGATATATTTAAAAAGTTTGCAAATACTGTATTGACAATTAAAATTGAATCAAATAATTGTGATTAATTTTAAAATTCAGAAAATATTTTATTCATATTATAAAGATCATTAATATTTATAGTTTCAGTACGTTAATTGTACGATGTGATTAGAATAATTTTTGAAATTATTTAAAAAAAAGAACAAAAAAATAGGAAATATAACTTACATAATAAGCACATGATGAAAACATATTTTATATCACATGACACAAAAGTTAAATTATTAATAAATGCAGTTAAATTCTAAATTGTGACAATTATCGAGGAGTAAAATATATACTGCATAATTTCTTTATATTAGTTAAAATATGATTTGCACGTTTCTATTATAATTATATAGAAAATATTACAGTTTACTTAGTAACGTAATGTATAAATTGATTCTAAATTCTAAATAAAAGTAATTTTCAGATAGTAATGTTTTAATTCTTATATTTATTGCTATTTAATGCCTATTTCTACTTGTAAAATGCTATTAACACTAATTGTGGTTTCCTTAACAATTCATTGTTTCTAAAAGGTATTATTAAATAGACATTTTTGTTATATAAATTTATTATTTTAAGTGTAAATTTATAGTATTTTCTGTACAGTATTTTTCAAAAGATTTAATTCTTAAAAAATATTTTCTTAATACATTACTAGTTAAATCGAAATGTACATCTATAACATATAAAATTTTCCTTGTTTGGTTGATTTGTCAAGCTGAAAATCAAAAGAGAATTCTTTTATACACAAGTCAAAAAGATTTCATACTAACAATGATTTTTAATTTTAAATAATAATTCTTTTTATTAATTAACCTCTCAATAAGTGTGACAAGTATTATTTTTATTACATATCTTCGTTGTAAGCTTACGTATACGAATTTTAGTTTATATCAATAAAAAGAATTTTATATATTTAGTGGAATACCTAAGTTATTATTGATCTTTTTTTTTCTTAAAGAATCTATCCAGTTTACAAATAACTTTCATCTTTTATTTATTTTTAAAAATATTTTTCTCACAATTCATGCCCTTTCTTTAGCTGAAATTTTCAATATGTTCTAGCTTTTATCAAAATGTATCTGATATTTTAAAAAATAGACGAATTCGGTCTATTTTATTTTAAAACGTTTCAAAAATAATCAATTTTATATAGAATATATTTAACAGAATAAATCATAAACGTATAAAATTTTCTGATATTTTCATTTACTTTTTATAAATTTATTTATTTTATAATAGTAAACATTTTTACTGTTTTATTGTCTATGTCAATGCCTGTTTAAATACAATTTACAATATATAAAGCGATTTATTCCATAATAAGAACATTAAATTATATTTTTACCATAAAAGCGTTATAGTTTAAGGCTAGACCGTTCATATCTTTGTTATTTAATAATACTATATATACTTCGTATGGCGTTGTAGAATAAACATTAAATACGCTTTCTACAGAAACTCTTATTGAAATTGACCGAGATTTTTTTAATTTTCACTGTTCTCCTTTTGAATATTTACAGATAATAAAGACACTAAATTTCTAGTGTTTTCTTGCATAATTTATTCTTTTCAATTGTAAACAATATTTAAATTACTCATTATAGTCGACTCATCTAGTGTTCAGTTCAGTGTGCTGCATTAAAAAGTAGAAAATAGCGTAGTACAAATCATTATATAAGACGACTATAGAATGAGTGAAGTCTATTATATTGCGTGACTGCACGTCTGAGTAGATCATTAAATAGGAAAAACCTTTTTAGACGCCACCCTTAAACTTATGCATAGTAAAAACTACAATTCTGTTATTGCATAATGTAAGTAGTAATTAGGTTTTGATAGAAATTTTTCAAATAAGATAAATCATGTTTAGTGTATTTAAATTTTTAAAAAGAAATTAATTTTGTATTCTTGTTTTCTTTTCTTTTTTATAAGGGATTATGAGATTGTTTCATATTAATCCACGTGAGAGACGCGCATCTAGAGAAAGAAATTCAAACGGATCCTCCACGATGTCAAGATTATCCTCAAATAGTCCTCGTCCGTCTGTAGACGGTTTGTTAGCCCCAACATTTCCATCGAGACCAAGATCTATGTCTGTTGCTTTCAGTCAAGATGCAACAGAAGGCGATTCTTCATATCGAAGATTGCGTTCGCATTCTGTTTGCCCTCAGTCTCAAAGAACACCAAGAAAATCATTAGCGAGAATGGACGAAGAAGATTCTTTTCGTGGTTTTACCATCAAATTGTACGTCATATTAGGAACTTTGTGCACAGCTATGGCTGGATTTGTGATATATGCATATCTGTACAATACTGGGAAATATCATTAGAAGATACTGTATACATATGAAATTCACATATTGTATAAAAGTCTGGTAATTGTGCAATGTTTTATATTTATTTATAGTTATGCACTTGCATAGTTGTTAAGCTCGGAGATATTTTTATGTAAAAAATATATTCGAATTTTTATTTACACATTCATTTTTGCAAACATTTCCGCGCTTTTTTGTAAATAGGTATATTCCTATGAAATGTGTAATATATGTAGATAACAAGAAATGTTGAAATATTTATAATACGATAATTGTTCAGAAAAGGTTTCACGTTGCTCAAATGTTTAAAGTATATATATATATATTGTAATGGTATATAATTATTTGAATATATGATATTGTTGCATAAACTATTTATCTATTAAATCGTGCAGATGATTAATTTTATATTTAAATTATTAATAATAAATGAACAATGCATACGTACCGTTTAAAATTTCGCGGAATTAAACAATACTCGTTATTAATATAATATATATAATATCGGTTTCCTATACCACAAACCGTTTTGTATAACGAAAAGTCAAAACAGGATTAAATTTGAGTTGAAAGTGCGAAAATCATGTTTATGGATAACAATTTGATATCCGTGGTGTTTTTGTTATTAGATAAAAAAATGTATATGTTAAACATATTTTGGCTTCATAGGATTTATCTGCTTGATGGTGTTATTGTCAAAAATAAAAAAAATTAATTTAAAAATATTCGCATTTTTAAGGGTTTATTGGAGTATGTTGGATTGAACCGGTCAGTGAAGATAAATAAAATTAAACATTTTAATTTTGAAGCATTTTTATTCAAAATTTTGTTTTTTAATCGACGAAATCGTTATTTAACGAGGAAATAACTTTAATTATGAATAAAACCAGTGTAAGATGTAATCAAAGTATAATATTTCCAAAATCCAAATCGTTCCAAATATATATTGTTCCAAAGAAGATGATTTTGGAATATTACATAAAGCAGCACTCTCACGTTACATTTATATTTTAATGTCTTCGCTTCGTATTATTATCGTCTATATTATTCTTTTTTTTATTTTCATGCAAATTTTTACGAGTTTTCTGGCAGTATCATTAAATTTTTCTGTATAATTATGTGTTAAAATTATTAACAATTTATTCACAAAACTATTTTATCGTTTTATTCTATATACAGAAATGGATAATACAGCTATGCTCATGCTTCTGTTCTGACAGATTTATCAGGTAAAGACAGCCAAATTTGATAGCAATTATTACAATTACTGAAATTAATTGAGATTCTACTAAATAACATATTCAATTAACCTTTTTTTAAAATTTAGCAGTAGAATGAGTGAAAATATAACAAAATAAAACTACTGTACTAAGTAAAAAAATAGTACTGGTGTATAGCAATTGAAAGTCAATAAGGTTCATGGCTTTTTTAGTATTAACTAAATTGTTTTGTAGCTTTTAATATTTATACTTCCATTGCAGTGAATTTAAAATTAAAGAAATAAATTTAATTATTTGCATTATGCATTCAATAATGCTGGCATTTAAGTCGTCATAAACACTGTTTTATTAAAATTAACTATTCTTTATGTTAAGTTTTATATGTTAACTCCATATCCATCTAAAACAAACTTTAAGATATTTAAACTTGTTTATAATATAAAATAGTCGGTTACTTTTATTTTTACAATTTATGAATTTTTTTATTTTTTTCAGGCGCTGTTTCAGGTTTGAATTTATACTTAATTGCATTTAATAAATTTAATAAAAATATCGCGGATTCAAACGTTAATAAGGCGAAAAATTTCAAATATAAATGATAACTTTTATATATTGAACAGTGTCAAGGAAACAATTTTTCAGATCCGACTTTAAGCGGTTCAGAGCTTAAGAAAATTTTCATTAAAATTAAAAAATACTAACAAAAAATTATTACAAAATTTTGTGTTATTAAATTAATTTTCTTGTTAAAAGTAAGAATTTCATTTCAGAGGATTACTGTGACATTTTTTAAGCTTTTGTTAGTGATATTTTTAGAAATGCAGATTATAAGTTAACTACAAATTATCGAATACCTCCAATAAAATAATATTGAAGTTAAATAAATTGCAAAAATCGAATTTTATAAATATTTTTATCGAATAAGAAGCAAAATTATAATTTATGTTTTATACTGTAAATAATATATATAGGCTACATAGTAACATTAATATTCAATTTATTGATAAGATTTAACTGCATAACATATTTATATAAATTGACTTCTCGAATAATTTCCTTGTTTATTCAATTTAATTAAATACAAAAAGAAAGATTTTATTAATTTTTTCGTTTTAATTCGGTTGCAATTTGTAGAGAATTCTAGAAATGATTGTCTATAAAATTTTAGAAGTCGTCGAATGACTTTATGTTCTTTAGTGAAAAGTAACTCGGAGCCAAAAAACTTTTAATGGTAAATTTTGATGTTTCGAAATTTGCTGAAGCGTAAAATAGGCCACGCTGAATCTGTAAATCGCAATAAACATAAAAATATGGAATGGTCATATATTTTTATCTCTTGCATAAATTGTTCTTGTCTAAGTTTAAATGTAAATCTAAAAAATATATTCTAATTTAAAATTTTTTAAATTGAATTTTTATCATAAAAATATTCTTTTTAGAGACTAATTAGAGATAAATACACAAACTAGTTTACCGCTAGTTTTGATCCTGTAATAACATGACTGTACTACTAATAATAATGTTCATTTGAAATAAATCGATTTTTAGTTTAAATTAATGAATATGTTTAAAGATAAGTAAGAAATTCGTAGACATAACGAGGTTCTCTCTCCATCTCTCACTTTTTTAACTACTACAAACATGCTTTGAAAGCGACAGAAAATATATATTTACTCGAAATAAAATTAATGCTTTATAATTAAGAAAATTAAAAATTTAAAAAATGATTTAAAGCTAACTCTTGGATCAAAACTCAAATTTATATAATTAATAAAATTAATTATATTGATAAATTGTAGGAATTTTAATAAACTAGGGAATCGTTTTTGTATCGAGGCAATCGTTATAAAACGCTTAAATATTTTTCCAAAAATGATTTTAATTGATTAAATAATGCTATTAATTCCAATGATAACGCTTGCTTATAATAATTCTTTTTTTTTCCCAAACTTTGTTTAATTAATTGTTAATCTTATGTTCCAATGCTTAACGTTGCATAAACATTTCTGTTTTGTCTTTATCGACTTTCTCGATAAGATAATCTGTATTCGAATGAAAGAAGATTTTCAGCCAAAATAAACTTCTAAATCTATAGCTTCGATGACAACTGAAATGTCGTATTTTTATTGATTTGGAACCCTGCCACATTTATAATGTAATAAATCCACTGTCCAGGATTTTGACATCAGTGACGTATCCAAAAGCCATTAAGCAGAAATGGAAAAAAATAATAACAAGGATCTATTTTTCATAAAGTTAATTACTTACTAAAATTATAAATTTGAAATTTGAAAAGAAAGATTATTATACAAATTAATGTTTCAACACATACATAAATTACGTTTATATTTTGTAGTTTAGTATTATTATATGTGGGTGTTTATAAGAATTTACAGTCATAGTTTACTAAATATTTATTTGGAATAATTATCCCTTTATAGTAATAATAATGATACATAAATAATTCTTAACCTTCGAATTTCAACAATTTTAGTTACAAAAATTGTTAAACTCAGATACAGATTTAAATAATTGAATTTCGCATGTGACATATGGATATAATAAACATTAGAAAATTGTCACTTTTTAGAAAAATTGAACTTAGTGACGTTGATAAATTTTTTAAAATAAAAGAAAAATTTATCTGAGCACAAATCATTGTAGATATATTGCAATGAAATATATTTTTCATTCCATCTGTACTTGAAAGGTTTCCTAACCTGACAAAATTTTGTATTTTTTATTCTACTTTTTTGTATGATATCATTTATTAAAAAGAAAATTTAAAATGCCAACGAAAAATATAGAATTTTAAAAAAGATTTTATCCTCATTTGATTTTTCACATAACTTTAAAATGCGAGAATGCTTAGTTAATTCAAAAATTAAAATTACTCTAACTATTAATTTTAATAGATTTATCACATAGTTTAGAAGATTTTTACTTCATATTATGCAAGTAACATACCAATGCCTTGTTATAGTCATGCTAATTTTTTAAATGCAACAACTAACTTATCATAGATTAATGGTAAAATATTTATTAGCAAAAGCATACTGTATTTGTTTTTCCTGTAACGATGTAGATAAAGTTTGTAAAATGTATTGCATTTTATTTTAATGTTATTAAATAAGGATAGCGCACCAAAGGCTGGCATTTTGAATTTAAATCTATCATACATAATTGATTCAAATTTCTAAAAATTTTCAACTTTCGTATTATGTTGCAAACATTTCATACTTGTGAAGTGAATACGTTTTGAAAAAGAAAGATGAAAAAACAATAAAGTCTACACATTGATTTTGTTTAAACTGATTATTATCACTAACTATAATGGTAAGAGTAAATATACATTTATTTATTCTCATTTAAATTGACACTTTCATTTAAAATTTCAAGTTGTTACCGATGTATAGTATTTGAAATGATATAAGTGACATCTCGAAAGCATTGTTTCTTTACTAGTGAAATCATAAAGCCCACATTGTGAGTATCAGGTATTGGAAACGTATATAAATCTTACATATTGCTTGACACAACACTTCTAATTAAGGTATGATTCAAAAATATACTTTTAACTCCATTTTTAGTTTATATTATTCCATAAACACACTCCAAAACACCTAGAAAAATGCAATTATGCAATCGCATGTCCTTAGAGAGAACATGTGACAACATCTAACTTTTTGTCTTTAAAGTTCACAAAAATTATTTCCTAATCAGATAGGTATTTTATATAGTGTCAACAATTATGATGATTCAAGGTCTATGGATTGTATTCAACCAATCAATAAGTTGTAGATAAAGCACTCGAAATGCAGTAAAACCAGGAGCTATCTTTTATATTAATCATTTTTAATCTAAAATGGTTGTGGTCGTCCGTTTTATTCGAATTATCAGAGATAGCATTGATCCACATTACCTCGAATAATCAAAGTCCTATCGTAATTAAAACGAAAGGAAAAATATTTTCAGGGGAAAATAGGACAAACTAACAATATTAACTTAAGTTTTGTTTAAAATTACGTCCGGAATTTTATTAGTAATACGAAAGTTATTATTAATGATCACATTATTTGTATTTTCGATAAAAATTTCAAATCATCTTTGTAGTACATCATGCTAAGAAGGAAAATATGTATTTAGACAATTTGTCATTTCAAGGAAATCCCAATTGTGAGATAATATGACGAATATATTTTATTATGAAATTTACTTCCGTTATTCGTTTCATCAATGCTATTTAATTTGAGTAATTATTTCTATTATTCTACAAATATTATTGAATTATCATTGAATATTTATAGAATAATGGAATGTAATTAGTATACTACATAATCTAAATAGATTTAATAATTGATTTCAACGTGTATTTCCTGTTATTTTTTTTTGAAAAAAGAATTATTTTTTGCTACAAAGATTTAAGGTTGAAAGCATTAATATAAAATTCAACTATTATTTTTATAAAATAAATTGTAAAAAAACAATAGTTGAATGATTTTTAAATTACTATTCGATAATATAATCACATGATCGACATCTTTTCCTTTGTTTTTTTATGTTAAATTAAGCTTGCTTTATAAAATGATTGTTACCTTCTTAAACATTTTGAAATCTCATTTTTTTAGTAGTAAAAAATATTTTCATAAGCATATACCAAAAGGTAAGGACAATAAGTCGTGAAATTTCTATCTAAATATTTATTAGTTAAAATTAGGTATTACACCTTCAGAATGGGGACCAGATTAAGCAGTATAACTGCATCGCTTAGGTGCTTGCAGCGCTAAAAATGCTAATAGTGGCGAGTTTTAGTACTAATTTGTTAGATTTAGTATCGTTTGAACTGCTAAATATTTTTCTAG